GGCAGGCTCTTTGTTCTACCACTCCGTCCCATTACAGGTACAACTGATACTACAAACATGTTCGAACCATCGTCTTTTTGTCGATAAATGTGGATGTCCAGCCCGAAGAATTATGGACTTGTCTGTTTAACGACAGCTTCCACTGATAATAACTGGTTATCGGACTACGTAACTTTGTAGAGTATTTTGTTATCGAACATCGTGTTGCCTTTTTAGTGTCTCGTGGCAGGAAGTGTCCACTACTAAATGTATTACAACAAGTGACAAATGATCAGGAAACCTCTTGCTTCAAACATAATTAAACCAGAGCAAACATGGACAAAATACATTGATATCATTTCTGTAACATTCTTGGGAGCATAAGTATGTTTCCAACGCATTTTAATTAAATTCTTCAAATGCTTGGTACGAATAATCAAGCCAGTAACGAGTGACGCTGCTTGTTAGTCACGTTTCCCCTCCATTTTGGTTGCAGGAGGCTCGTACGTCGCGAAAGAATCAAACCAAGTCGTTAAATCCCGTCCGTATCGTGAAGTCGATTCTATTTAAAGACACCCGTATTCCAAAAATACACGGGACGGTAAAAACAGCCCAAAAGGAGTAGCCGGCGCAAGGTTCCCCTGACACTTTCACAATGTTGGCCACCGAGAAATTGCACGGTTCTTTACGATCCATTTGCAAAAACCATTAATTCCCAGCGATCATGCGTGCACGTAACAAGCGGTACGACCAGGCCACGTAACGCCAAGTTTCGAAGAAGTGGCAATTTGCCCATGTTGATCGTTATTTATTGTGATCCCGGGCTCTGGACGAAAGGAGAATGGAATTTGCATGCGAAATTGTCGGCGAACGGTGCACTCGCGCGCGAGTATCTTCGAAAAGGACTTGATGCGAAGGCTGGCCTTACGCAACCATGTTCGCCGAACACTGGTCAGGGATCGGTCATCCACGTTCGCGCGTTGACACTCGCCATTTGTTACCCATCGTGTTTGCCGGGGGATTTAGCCAAGGAAAATGAACTCCGAGACAAATTGAGGATGTCAAGGAGGATGGAATATGGACCATGGCTGACGCACTGAGAGTTAAACGGCTTGAATGCCTCAAAATTGGGTCGAATCATATAGCAAAACACTTTGATGCAAATAGAGCCTCGACTGAACGATGATTATAGTAGTCTGGGGCAGTTATAGCAACTCTAATTGACTTTGATAGTTAAATTGGGAGCATTGGTACTAGGATTGAAGGGTTGTATCACCTAGATAACGTCTAAACCGTCCATTTGTGTAAACGAATACGAGTGAATAACTTGGCTGATATGTCTGTCCATTGTCTGACTCTTTCTACTTCCACCGATGTCCAAGTCTGACTTTATTGAATACGACTTGGCTAACGCGTCTGCCCATTATTCACTGTTTCTACTTCTACCGATGTCCAAGCCTAGCTCTATTGAATATGATTTAGCTGACGCGTCTGCCCATTACTCACTGTTTCTACTTCTACCGATGTCCCAGTCGGACTGTATTGCACCTGTATACGTTTTCAATCTCGATTTTCTGGAAAACGGAGCTTGGAATAACAAATACCTGTACTACAAATAATCTTAGAACACATTCTATTATTTTATAGTGAGAATTCCAAATGAAAACGATTCACTATACGATGGTTACTTATAGCAATTTTAAGTTAGAGCTTTACAGTTGGATCCAGGCCATTTATTCCAAACTTAAGACATTGTAACACTTTAAATGACCGTGCCTCTGTAACTGCTAGACCTCTGGCCTGCGTTTCTTTCAGTTAACCGAGCGTACTTGGTATAATTAATCGTACGATTAATGTCGTTCGATTTTGCTGGCGATTGCGTGCTTCTGAAGAGAAACAGTCGCGCGTCGGCACGCGCGTTACGCAGCGTGAAAGTCCCCGGCTAGAATTCATTCTTCCTTTCCAGCTCGCCCTGACCTCCGCGATAATGAGAGTGATCTGAATTATCCGGATCGTTATGTATTTGGCAACGTTTGCCTGGCTTAATGACTATCGGGCGTACCCCAATTTCTTTTCATTTCTCGCAAACGAACGATTAGCATACAACTGTTGCGTGCCGCGTTGCGTAATTCCGGGCAACGTAATTGGCCTCGCAGTATGCGCGTACCCGAGTATGCGTGAAAGGTTAAGTGATATAATCGAGTCGACGAAGTTACGCATACATTGTCCGTTTTTATTGTGTTCCATATACAGCGGTGACTTTTTAACGAGGTTTGTTTTACTTCGCGCGGAGGGCGGCACCTTCGATCAGGATTTTTTTGCTGACACGGCTGAAACGTCGGGTAACGAGAATTTACGATTATGAAACTCGACATTTCGAATGTCATTCGATCGTAAGATAACTCTGCTTCGAGTAAACTCTGATTAATTAAAACTGATGATACTTCAGATCCAAGTATCGCGTGTTTTCGACTCTATTTTAATATAAAATCTGTAAGGTAATCTCTTAATTCAGGTCGTGGGATTTTTTCACGTCCGTAATGCTATGAAAGCCGAGCAGCAGTCTCGCAAATTACGCGTTTCACTTTCTGTACGCGTTCGGCTCGGTAATTTAACGCGTTCCCTGCCACGATCCGCCGTACCAACGATCTCACTTCGTTCTAACTCACCCTTTCTTGGTTATTGGCATTGGGATACGCCCAATCGGCGCATCTACACATTGTAGGATAAGTTATTAGTAACATACTGTGTTGCTAGACCCCTACGTACGCCCACTGGATCCCTGCGAAGCCTCTCTGTACTTTGTTAGCTCGCTGTCTCGGTATAGACAGTTCCCCGGTTGATTAACTGCAACTTATTCAGCAAGTGGAAGATCTACCCCGTGATATTAGGCCAACTGCTGTTCGCCACGATGATCGAATCTCATCTGCCGACTTAGGGGACTGGAGAATAAACAATCTGTCTGCCCCGGAGCTTGGGAGGGTCCGGGGAATACTCCACTGTGTCAATCTTCTCTCTGGTATTGCGTAAATCATAATAATCGAAGCATAAGAAAGATTGCATCTCCGCGGTGGAATCAATTTATAAATCCACTTTCGATCAAGTTATCTGCCAGGTCTTAGCACTGATAGGCAACTGGTTAACTAACACTTAGGGTAGCTCATCGCTTCGAGGAATATTCATAAGTTTCTGTGGAGGCTGGAAGATACTATATTAATTATCTAATATTTTTGCTAATTAAAGTCAAAATTGGACAATGTAAATTAAGAGAAAAGCATTGATGCAGCGTGGATTCTTAGTGATTTAAGAAATACTGATTTTTATTTCGATGGACCGTGAGGCACAGGGTACGTAAGATCGTTTATTACAGCAGATTGCGAGAGCGGTCTTCGTGAACGAGACTGTAATTTAATCTAACCTGGCGGAGGAGATCGATCGACGATAAATTTCGCGACTCGCGTAAAACGAGACGTGCCGTATTGACGATAAAACACCCACGTAATACATTCGTGGAAAGGACGTTTCGCGGAAAGGACGGGACAATCATTGGAACTCGCGCATTAGTACTAGCTGTAAATCAATTCAAGATGGCGGAAATACGATGTAAACCGCTTGCAAATCGATTCAGCGATTTATACGCCCCTATTGTACGCGAGGCCGGGACAACCGGCGGATGTTTACATTCGGCTATAAATTATAAGGAGAATCGCGCGTGTATTCTGCAAATCGTCGATAAATTATTAATTTAAGCCTAGAACCGCGAACCGGCCATTTTAATTTCTCGACGTTTCCCTTGTACGAACCGAGTTTTCGCCGCTCGATCCGCGGATTATCTCCTTGGAAGAATATTCAGCTTCCCACAATAGTATTTTTATTGTTTAGTATTTACGAAAGTTTCAGTAAGATTATTAGATTAAATGAAGTCTAAATAGAGCTTATGGAGCACTTAGCTATAGCATATAGAGCATATAGAGCTCTCAGCTATAGCATATAGAGCATATAGAGCTCTTTTCTATAGTTCATAGAGCATATAGAGCTCTTTTCTATAGTTCATAGATCTTATAGAGCAATCTAAAAGCAAGTAGACCTCTTCAACCAGATCACCAGCACATTTAAAAAGTGAAATTGAACGAAATAAAACGCAGGGAAGTCACCGAAGACGGAAGGTAAATAGAGACGAAGATTCGTTGTTCGACGGTCGATTCTGTTCGCGGTGAAAATCTCACCTGGAAGTTGCGTGAACGTAGTTCATCGGCGTTATGCAGCACCTTTAAATTACCCATATGAAAGTGAGTCTTAGAATCTCGTTAGACGAGCTCGTAAACGTCGCTGTTCATTTCGACGGAACTTTGCGCCGTTCGATCGTATTAGCAGCGTCGGTTCGAATTGACATTGTGACTTGGCAAAAAGTGCCGTGGCCGACGGAGGGGCTGCTTTAATGGTGACGCGGACGTGAGTTTATGAAAGGCCGGTTTTTCATCGCGAACTGGAACGCCGTTTCCACGGCGCAACGGTAACGTTTGTCACGTTCGTATCAGAATGAACCGGGGAACACGTTAACGAACCGCCGTTCCACAAAACGAGCCATGGAATGACGTTGCACCGGGCCTGACACAGATGCCACGGCTCGCGTGTCCTTCCACGAGAAAGCGAAAATTACCGTGTCACTCGAATTGGATAACTGGGTCTTTTCGATAAAAGCTGATCATTCTATTTGCACGATAATCCACAACAACTTCAATACTGATACACGAATGGAAATGAGTTTGAAATTGGCGGGGAATCGGTGGTTCGACGTATCGATCCACAGAGGGCGCTATTGTAACGTTCCCGAACGGCCGCCATTTATCGTACGAACTTTCCTGCAGTTATTTCAACGCATTTCAATTATTTAACAGCTAAATTAACACAGGAGGAAATGACATTATCGAATTTAATTATTAACTAACTGCAAGTAGAGTTTAATCGAACATTTGACGCGATAGAACGTACGAAATTTGATGTGACAATATTCGTTGCAGGCTGGTTCTCCGTTGTCTCGAACAACAGTGGTACTGGAAGTGCCAGGGTGTACAGAAGAGTGGGAGCTTTGGTTCGAGCTGGTGTCCCGGCGTTTCTGCTCGCGAAACCTCTCAGAGCTTACACGCTAACACACTCCAAGATGGGTAAGTTTTGGTAGCTTTCGATCGTATGGCGAGACAGCTGCATAGAGCCGCCTCGTAAATGGCACATAATTGCACGTTTCACGAGTAGCGGTTATCCTTTCGCTCATTAAGAACGCAACGCCGTTGCAAGAAATTACGTGCAAGAATTACTATGATACGAACGTACGATAACGTAATTAACTGTTATAATGTTAGGTAGTCGCGGTTGTTACATGGACACTATTAATATCGCGATCACGCCCACATTCTCACGCGGACAATCGAGGATAATTCGACCAGTAATTTTGATTGAAGCTAATCTCATTTCAGATCGGATAAGACGAAGGGACTTAGGATAATTTAATATCACGCTGCGTGCGGGAACTTATTATCGACGACGTGATAGGATCTAGAGAATGAGGAAGATATCACGTTTGCATGTTTTGTTGCATCGTGTGTTGTTATTGAAAGCCAATGGGGCAATGATGATTCGAATGCCACCCTTTTCAAGGTAGATGCTTGAAAGACCATTTCCAAGTTCAATATTCAAGATTCTCCAGCACCCACAACTGTCTAGTCTAATCTCAAACTGAATCACTCGCAAACAATAACAAATTCATCATCGGAGAAGAGGAAGACAATCAGAATCTTAATAGGTCTTTAACGACTTTTAGTATTCTAATAGTGAGGGTTATTATCATTTCCAGACTATATTTCAAAGATTCTCACAAAGATTAGCATCTATTCTACCAGAGGCAACCTCAGAAAAATGGATAAAAATTAGAATCCTAATAGTTTTCAACGTCTCTCTAAGACCTACTCCCCTCAGCCGTTATACGCAACTAGTACCCTAATAGCGAGGGTTATGATAATTTCCAGACTATATTTCAAAGATTCTCACAAAGATTAGCATCTATTCTACCAGAAGGGACCTAAAAAAAGTAGATAAAAATTAGAATCCTAACAGTTTTCAACGTCTCTCTCAAACCTGCTCGCCTCAGACCACTCTGCTCTCATCGACACGAGTCTTCCCAATCCGGAAACAGATAATAATCTTCAGTCTTGTCAGGAGCCCAAGCTACTTACAAGCTACAAGACACGTGTCTCCATAAAAAGACACCCAAATTCGTATCCGAACAGATCTCGACTACATCTTTTCCGCCCTTGTATCACCGACAGGGAACACGATCGTATCCTGGACAGATACTACGAGAAGGTGCGTTCGACGGTGTACACAGGCGTAGAACCGTGGCGAAGGCAGGATCGTCGTGGTGTACGTCACTCGTCTAGGACGTGACAATGCATCCTGGTGCGTGCACAGGGACGTCCGCGCGCTCACGCACGGTCCACGCTTCGGTTTGTTCCCTTGGGTACAGCGACTGGCCGTGACACGAATGTCAATGTGTCTGTTAATGCGACTCTACGGCGCGCTTGTTCGTGCGTTTAAACGTAGGCGAGGGGCACGTAACGTAATAGGCATGCGGGCCCCGGTGAAAGCCGTTGGGGTTCTTACGATACACACGGGCGTTATGCCATTATGTACTATAACGATTATGATCGCGCGTGAAAGGGGATTTCTATGGGCATCGCGGTGCCCGTGTCTCTCCCCCCCCCCCCTGATATCTAGTAGTTTCGCCTTTTTACGTTGCCCCACGTGAAATCGAGTAGGTCCGGGTTAGCCACGGGTTGGGTTACCAACTTTGCACTTGGCTGAATTATGAATCGCGCTCCGGGGCACGGGGCTCTTAAAGAAACATGACAGTCTCCGATTCTGGTGATTATGAGGAATGCCTAAGGTGGAATCGATTTGAATAAAATGCACCAATCACGGGATGAATCAAAGAAGAATGAAGACGTCAGTCCTCGAGTCCAGAAAAGTGGCTACGGTCCCCGTATGATTTTCTGAAGTTAACTTCCTAACAGGATGACACCTCGATGAATGATGACATTTTCGATTGAGCTATCTAATTTACAATATGACTGCCACGGGAAGTTAGCCTTGTCAGGGGTCAGCGGCTAGTAGTATATTACGAAGACGCGGGCTCGTAAATAGTTAAAATAATCGTATCGCGTGGACGTCGGCGACTGGTATCCACAAAGTTCGACGCGATTGAGTGAGATTGCCACAAATTAACCGGAGAGCTACCTACCTATTTGATGGCCACGGGCAGAATAATACCGCTAGATTTGCCCGATAATATTTAATTAGAAGATTTCTTGGTGCGCCATGTTTGAAGGCGGTGACCAATGTGCTATAAAGGAAGTTCCACGCGGTTGTAAAACTATTAAAGTCTAACTGTCCGGATATATAAAATTGGAAAGCACATGATTCGGGTTCTTATGACCAGGCAATACTCGCTGTATTAAATGCTCGAACTTCCATTAATATATTTTTAATTTCTAATTGGCGGAAGTTTAACTCCGAATTCACTAATTCTACAACTTTTCGCTAGTTTTCGGTTTCGATCACGATATAGTAACAAACAGCTCCCAATCTTTTGATATTGCGATGTCCTGGGCTCAATTTTCTTGAAACTTTGCACATTTGCACTTATAGAGCTCTTAAGTAGAGCTTATAGAGCTTATAGAGCTCTTAACTATAGCTTATAGAGCTTATAGAGCTTGTAGCTATAGCTCATAACTCAATTCTAAAGGGTGAAACTACCCTCTAAAGTATCATACTCCTAATGCTACCTCCAAAACAACTGTCTACAGTTTATTTTTAAAATTTCCCAGCGCCCAACAAACCCAGAGAAAGGTTCATCGAAGACGGAGGAATGCTTAGCGGATGCTTGTCGGTTAAATGAGAGCGAAACTGCAAATTTCTGTCGCAGAGAATGGGAATCTAAGGGCGCACTACACGAAGACGACCGTGCGCGCGGGGGAAGTTCTACGGCTGGCCGCGGTGTTCCAGGACACGCGGAGGGCGCCAGTGTCGAGCGGCATTTCCGGTGTCGTTAGCGGCGTCCCCGAGGGTAAAAGTTCAAGGTCGTCGGAACGAGATCAGTACGCGCAGTGCCTGGATTCTCACGGGCACGAGCTATTCGCGCCGCTTTCAGCGAGAGGAGAGTTCTACGCCACTTGCCAGAGCGGAAGCCTCGACACCGGAAGCGACGCCGTCTTGTATAGAGTTCATCAGCTCGCCAGGAGGGATCTACCTCTGAGGGTAACTTTTCCAGAATTTTTTACGCCAACGATGCAACGTGCGTGTCTATAACATTCTGACGAACTGAATCTGTCCTAAATTAGTCTGTTCCTTAACAAGTAACAGGAATATAGCTTCTCTAAGATCCATAGCGTAGAGTAAACGATCAATCTAGCCAGCTTATAGAGCTTGTAGAGCCCGTAGAGCTCTTAACTATGTTCCCATTAATGAAACTGCGTTAATCCTACTATCGAAGGATGTCTGATCGTTAAAGGAACACAATTTATGGTTCGAAAATACTGATCAAGGAGTTTGCAATCCGATTGACAGGTACGGTTGGTCGCTGGACCTCTGCCAATACCGTTGCCACGAGATTATAGCGGTCTGATGCAACTGGAAGGTGCAACGAGGGGCCCCATAGTTTTAGGTTGCGCAGTGCCGCTGGTACCCGAGAGACCTGTGCCAAATTCCACCGTCCCAGAACTCCTTGAATTGGTTGCCACAGGACCAACGGCGCCTCGAGTGAAAAGAGCGCGATTAGGCTGTCCTTCCGAAGCACGGTTGCTGGCCTCGCCAAAGATGCAGCGATTACTATCAGCCTGCAGGTAAAAACTGATATAACAATTGCAAAGTGGATAGTAACAGAGAGGCTAAGTGCTGTAATTGAATAAAGACAGGCTTCTTCATAACTAGGTGCTAAGCTCTAGAAATTAGCACACGTTGATAGACTTAACTCTAGCTTCTTTGAACTGCTCTAGGCTCTGAAGGGGTGGCACCAACACCCCTACGGTTACTTTTTGGAATTGGTTAGGTACTTACTACTCATGTTAATGTTATCATTGGTTACCAACCAGGTATAATCTTCTCTAGAAAAGGTTCAGTTGCACCCAACCACTCAAACCAATTTCATTTCCAAGACACCTATCGACCATGTACTGTCGTTCCAATTACAGAAGAGCCCTGGACCAGAGAGCGACGGAACCACGCGTAGCGCCTCCGAAGCCAACCAACACCAGTGGTCAACTGAAAGAGCTCCATTTGAAGGAGATCAAATCCAAAACGGAGGCGAAACCGATCCTCCAGAGTCTAAAGGAGGGCATAGAGCACATCAAGAGAACGACTATCAGAGATCGTAGCAATAGTCGGACGAGCAACAACAACCACAGCATCCTCGATCGAATCACGAGGATAGCCCAGGGTGGGAGGAGCAGAAACCCTGCCAAGAAGTCTGCTTCGTTCACGTTCGCGGTTCGGCCGGAAATTGGCATGAGGTCCGAGAGATACGCCAGCCTGGAGTCGGAGACCAATCTGCTGCAGGCGTCCGCCTCTTCCAGACAGCAGGTTCAACGGTCAGTTTCGACCAGCGTGCTGGAGGTACAGACTCAGCAGGACTTGGACCCGCCGTACTCCAAGGTCAGGGACAGTCTGACGCCTCTACCGTCGACTCCGCTGCCCAAGACGGAGGAGATCTACGCTGAAATCTGCGAGCTTACGAACGTCAGCCCCCCCGAGGAGAAACCACCGCCACCGCTGCCTGGAGGGAAGAACGGGACCAGAGAGAAGGACAGGGGCTACGTGAAGCTGGCTCTGTCGCAGTCCGAGATTTCTGACGCGAACGCTGTCGAGGACGAAGAGGGGATCTACAATACTGTCTGCTGATCGTGGTTCTTCCTGGACCGGAGGAGACTCGCTGCGTTCCGGGGAATGGAAGCGCGTTAGATAAGATAGGGGAGCAAGTTTGAGGGGGATCTTTGGGTATCGAGGATTTGTGCACAGTTAGACGACCCATTTGAAGAGATTAGAGGTAGCTAAATAGTAGAGACGAATCGAGTTGTGGCGGGGAAGCGAATCCAGAAACCCTTTGGATCCCCGCATTTGGAACTTTTAAATTTGTACATTTTCTTCCAGATATGCTCTGTCGTGCTTCCGTAGATTTCTTAATTCAAAATTTCGCGCGCGTAAATCCGAACAGTGTGGCAGAGGGCGCTCCCGTTACTCGAAAGCGACTGGTAACACGGTGTTCGCGTTAAAAATGATCGCTTGAACCAAACTTCTTCGCTTTGAATCGAGTCTCTGATCACCGAAACCTTGTTCCGATCTAAAAATATCTGCTCGCTTCCCTGCACACGACGCGACAGTCCGGTCGTCTCGTCCGTAAACCTGATTCTCCGATCGCTCCGAGCGGCATGAATCGTGGACGTCGACATGCGAACGCATCGAAAATTAGCCCTCGAAGTTCATTGACGGAGATAAGGCGCGACTTCCTAGGTCGAACTGCGGAGAACCGTTCGGGCAGAAACCGGCGCTGCGGTGCACCGACGGGATTTACAACGCCATTTGCCGAAGAAATTATCCCTCCGAGGTCTTTTTCTCCCCTTTTTCCGCGCTCAGAGCGGCGGCGTCCTTCACGGGGAACCGGGCGGAAGATTTACAAGGCTGTTGACCGGGGAAAATGAGCGCGTAATTACGGTCCCGTGCGTGTATAGAGGATGTAGCGGGCCTCCTCGAGACGCTGCGCGACTTCCGGTACTGGAGAATCTGTGCTGCGGCTGATCGATATTATTAGAACCGACCGATCGCTTGTACTCGATGTCTCGACGCATCCTTAACGAGAAGTCCCTAGATCCGCGCGAGCTGTGACGATAAAGTGGACGAAATCTGTAAGAAACGTTTTCTCCGAAAATGGTTCCTTTCCGTACGAGTACACGCGAGGATATACTTTTACGCGTCGACGGGTCCTCCGAACGTTTACTGATATTAAATCCTCTTAATCCTAGATGGACCTAGGGGGATTGCCAATCGTGTACCATTTTGTAAATTTGTTGGTACCCTTAGCGTAGTGGCTAGTGTCCAGGCATTTTGTACATTTGTTAATACTCTGCGTGCTGGTTACGGACGCACGCAAGAAAACATTTGTAATTTTCTTACTGTATAGTTATTATTTTAAAATACACTCATTTGCAAATAATTATAGCGTGTTTTTTTTAGGAGGCAACCCAAATACTATTTTATAAGTGACTTGTAACTGATGACTGAGTCAAGTAACTAGAGATTCTTAAGACTCTAAATACTTTAACTATATTTGTACATTTCTGCTATATATGAGTAATTGACTATATTCTGCTATATTTGACTATTTGACCATATTCATGTCTGCTATATTCGAGTAATTTATTCATCCCTGAAATACTCATAATTAAAGGATTCATAAACGATTAATAACAATAAATATGTCTCTAACCAACCAAGAGACAAGACAATTACACATATCTAGAGCATTAACCGGATATCAAGAGACCAAGACCAAAGCATTCAGCCTGTCCTACTTCCATTAAGAATCCAAAGGTTCCATCTTAAAATATCGTGTTACAATTCAACGTCCAGGTCAAAGTAGCCCAGTCGCTGAGTGACTTTTGGCCTAACTGTAACGAATGATAACAAAGTAGCACGTTTTGCTCTATACAACCGGGCACGTCTCACTCCTTCAAGGCAAGTCAATCACACGGTCCGAGATCAGATTCATTGTTGCACCTCGTACCAATCAGTTTGTCTTTCCTGGCGAGTTCAGAGGTGTCTCGGCATGCAACTAGATATCGCCCCAGGAACCATTCTACCGAGAAGTCCTACGCGAACGAATTCCGAGGGCAGGCAGCGTGAAATGACGCTTTCGAGTCACGTAGATCGGGAGAAAACCACCGGGTGAATGTAAACGAGTCCGAACGTTCTGGAAACAGGAAATTAATGGCGTCCTTCGAAGGTCTAGGCCGTCGAAATTGCTGATGAATAGTTGAGCCGGGCGGCGGGGGTGGTGGTGCGCGGCGATTAATTTATTAACTCGTCATACAGCGCCGGGGACCAGTTTCCCCTTCGCGCAAGACTGGTCGTGGTTTCGTTGCGTGACGCCGTGGCGATCGTTCGTTGAACGTGTGATTACGTGCATCGAAACGCTTCGAGGAAACTGGAAAGCAGCGTCACGATGCAACCGGGATTACGAACGGCAGAAAAAAGGACGAAAAGAGGGTCGCGAAGAGTTCAGGGTGAGCAGGATCCTGTCACGCTCAAAAAATGCTTCGCGGGCATAATCTTCTCCCTGGTTTTCGTGCCTTACCATTTCGAATCGTCTGCGAGAAGTCTACGACTCTCCTGAAGATTGAATATCACTGATAGTAAAGTTTGAAATCTGGAAATTTCATCTAAAAATGAAATGGTGCTATATCATGATCTGAGTGTTGCTCTAGAAATGAAATGGTGCTATATTATGGTCTGAATATTGCTCTAGAAATGGAATGGTGCTATATCATGATCCGAATGTTGCTATAGAAATGAACTATTACACTTCTAGAGTTTGAATTTTGATATAGAACTGGACTATTGCCCTAGTAAGTATTAAATACTCTTCCAGAATTTTAATGCCGTTGTAAAAATGTTTAAAGACCGTTAATATGAAACATAACAATGATGATAAAATGATAGAGTATAGATAACATTCGTAGTGAATATCCAATCCAAGTTTCGAACAGCATGTTCTAGTTGTAAGATAAGTCCCGTTTTTCATACACACTGAAACTAGTAGTTCCAGTCGCCATGATGCCCTAGCCCAGTCCACGTAGCAGCCGGTTCATCCACGGTCAAGAAAATTGGAAATACCGAGATAAACACACCGACTGGCTCTGACTTTGAGGAATAATAACGCGAAACGATCGTCAGCGGCTATAGGTCATTAATGTTTTACGAGCACGTAGTACGCACAGCTGCGCCTATTCAATTATAGCCACGAGCCTTCTCTCTCGTTCTCCTTGTCCAGCCGTTTCCATCGTCGGTACAGCGATATACGTTTACGTCCATTAATATTAACGGCTCGAAATAACGATAATAACGAAGAACTAAACAGACGAGGAGGTGTTTTCCTTGACGATGCCGACTAGACGTTACGGTGGCCCACGTAGCTCCGTGGGGTGCAAGGCAAGTTGCATCTGTTCGTTTTTAGGGGATGCACTCGAGTTTGAATGACACGAACGCTGCTTATAGCGAATTGTGGTTTTGTTCAGGTTTCCTTTACTCGTGTCTTTTTGCTGGTGGTAGCTCCACCGATGAAGAACACGTTCCCGTCTCAAACTGTTCCCAGGTTGTGCTTTACGAAACTTCTGTTTCATATTCGTTCGCTTCTGATCATAATAATAATATAAAAATGAAATGCTACACTCTATCACACTATACGTTGCTATAAAAATGAACTGATGTTCTTCTAAGATTACGATGTGAACTATGAACGAAATTATACTATTCTAGAGTATGTAAGTTGATACAGAAATGAACTTGTGCTCAACGAAAGTTTGATAGGCATATAGTGCTATATCGTGATCCCAATGTTGCTCTAGAAATAAAATGGTGCTATATCATGATCCTAATGTTGCTATAGAAATGGACTGTTACTCCCACAGAGTTGAAACACTTCCAATTTGTGATTCGAAGATTAGGAACGCAATCAGGAACGTTTATTTTGAGTTTGCGTGTTCCGTTTGCGTCATAGTTAGCAATTTTGTCTCTCTTCCGATAGCAAGATCTGTTCAAATAGCGAATCGTAAGATATACTCGGATCGATCGAAACAACGGTGCTATCGGGACCCGGTAATCTTGGTCCATGGGTGCATATTTCAAGATCGGCATGCGTGAACGATTTCATGGCCGTCGGGTTGCCTTGTGGTCGTGTAACTCACCTCTACAACGTTAATGCGACGGCCGCGGAGCGCTGGCTATCATATTTCGCAGCTCCGCTCGACTGATCGACGAGGCGTGTTTTAATATGCAAATTAAAATGCAAATAATCCGCCTACCCCCCGCGCCCGTCTGCGTTCACTTTTGCTGCCCACCCTTGTTGGTCTTTGATCTAAGTCAGGCTAATCGTCATCCCCCTCTGTCCAAATCATTTTTGGAGACCACAAAAGCCTACGGTTTGCAACCAGAAATTCGAATTTCTTATTTAAAACTGCAAATGATGGACGATACGGAACCCATAAAATTCAGTCTGGTAAATCATCTGCTCAACCGATCCGTAAAATTTTAGAGCTATAACTATCAACCGATGTTACTTTCAACGATGATTGGTGGTCGTGGTCGATCCAAAAACGCGATGAAAGACAATATTATTATTGCTTTCTCCGATCGATCGTATTCAGGTTATATTTACCATGCACACTAGGGCATCGCGAGTGTCTTTCATTGCTATAGCGAAGTGGAACACTTTCTTTCAAGATTTCGAAGATACGATCACTGGCTGCGCCATGAAAGGACACAATAGAAACCCTCGGGTCTAGGCTGTCGGATCAGGGACGCACAAAAGGAACCTTACGATTTTGTCTCGCGACGGGGGTGCGTTTGAAGAAGCATCCAACAGGAAGAAACTACACGGTATTATTCTGTGACGTTCGATAAAGCAAGAGTTTGAAGCATTTATCCGTAACATTATCTCATCTCTAGAAGACGATTTGAAAGAGATGAAAAGGTGTTTAGAATCCTGTTTCGAAAGGCATTAAAGGAGTACGGGGTCTATTGGGAGCTGGTCTCTAAAGATCTCTGACGATTTTCATTGAGAAATATGTTAATTCAAACAAACGGTAGGATTTCGCATCCTGAGGACGCCTTATCTTCCTTCAGTCGCGGTTTTAAACGCCCCAGGCTCTATCTTCGATTCATTCCTGGTTGGGTAAAAATCGCTGGTAGATTCGCAGATTGCGTTTCAAGGCGACTCAACGCGTACAAGCGTGGCCATATAGAAGCTAAGATGAATCCTCGAGCCATCGTACGCGTAATGTCTTCAGTACAGCTACCCTCCTATCATAATCTCGGTATGATGGACGAGCAGTCTTTATACGGGGACGTTGAATGAAACGAGATTAAACGAACAGTCATCAATAGCGTCAAAGGCGAGGGACCCGGCGAAATAAAAGGTAAAAAGAAGGACGAAAACGGAAATCGGAACGGCTCAATTAGTCGCGTTGTACCTGTTCAATCTGTCACGATACGCGAAACTCTTTCCCTTGGTCCGGTATTGAGGATCGCGTGCCGCCGGCGAGTATCTGCGATTTGCACCAACATAACAAATAACATGTCGTGCGATTGCATCGAACCGAGACTTGAAAAACGGGGCAGAATCGTTTCTTCGTGGTGTTTGCCGCGCGTTCAGTCTGGTACAAAATGGTGTGTCGTTACGTCGTCGATGCTTAAAGATCATTGATCCCCAATGGATTAATTATTCGAGACTCAATAGTACACGTAATTCGAAGAATAAGAAAGGTTCGAGTGGGAACAGAGTGGATGATTGATAAGAATTCAGATTGAAAGTAATAAGGATGAAGTAATTGAAGATGATACGGCGGTTGAGGTCGATTAACGTCAACTATAGAGTTAAAACTGTCTGTTAGAGGTTTAATATGGGTATAAACTGCTATAGAATCGTCTAGAAATGAACCAATTCTAGAGCTGTGGATGTAACTATAAAAATGAACCAATTCTAGAGCTGTGGATATAACTATAGAAATGAACTAGTACTTTTCTAGAGTTCCAATGTGGATGTAACTAATTCTAGAGCTGTGGATGTAGCATCCTGGACCATAAAAGTTGACTTAGAGTTAATTTATGATAGTTCGAATCTCTATCTGAGTATGTCACAGTATTTTAGAGCGTCGAAAGTTGAAAAGTTGATGGAATAAATGTTTAGGATGTTTCATGGAGAATGTGGAGGCTCCAGTGATGGAGTTTCAAGGCAAGTGTGACATACTGTTTCCTGATACGAGTAACATACTGTCTGCGGGTGAGAAGTCACGCATAGATCAGGGTACGTACACCCTGTCACTGAAATTCTTTCCAA